TAGCTGGACGGGGGGGCTCCACATGCAGTTTTGCTGATAACAGTGCCTGGAGGGGCTTGCTGCTTGTCACTAGTGAAGCATTGAGAGACAGCCCAGGGTGGAGACTTAAGGGGGCACAGTGACCCCACAGTCCCAGGCTGCACCCTGGGGCTCCCTGCACACTTCTCTTACTTTTACTTAGGTCTCCCTGTGCCCCTAGCTGTCTTTTCGGACAGTATCATGCTTCAGCCCATCTACCAGGAATCAGGTCTGTGCTCAGATCAGGCCTCTCTGGTGAGACAGGCATTCTCCTGCCTAGTTTGAGAATCCTGCTTTGGGCTACCCAGGGCTCTGAGCAGCTTGTTAGCTGTGGCGTGGAACTGGGGCATAAGCAGCTTTCGGAGTGCCAACTAACAGAAATGTAGGCACCTACAGGGTCAGGCGGCAGGGTTAAGGTGGAAGTTTTGAAAATGTCAGTGGCACCTAAAAGAGGATGTAGACCTCAGTTCCCTGTCTGTGAAATGGGGGATAACAGCTCTTCTCTATCACACAGGGGTGTTGTGAGATAAATAAATATATTAAAGATTGTGGTGGGCTTAGATACTAATGTAATGGGGAACACATATATACTCCAGAAGGGATCACACCGTAACAAGTAGTGGAAAGGGACTGACTCTGCACTACTATGAAAGAAGCTAGAATAATTCTTTGCCCACTGTCTGTCACTGGAAATGAGTAGCCTCAAATTGCAGCTATGAGAAGAAGAGAGATCAGTAGATTCACCTGGGCAGATGATGTGTGGAGAGGGGCTAAAACTAGACAGGGGGCAGGGAGTTTGGTGGCCATCAGTTGAACCAAGGCTCAACTCCTCTTGGCCAGACTGAGCAATTAGCATGGCTGGCACCAGAATTTGTTAAACCTTATTAGACCAAGAGTCCAGCAAGTCTAATATTGCCACCAATGGTGGCAAATGTGCTTCAGCCCATTTTGCTTTGTTCTCTACTCAGCCCCACGTATCGCTCATTATGCAGCATTCCATCGCATCAAATCCACAACAACCAGCCAATGCTAGTTGCAATGTACCTAGACAGTTGTGTATGGCTGTCATGCAGAGGAGTAGGAGAGAAGAAAATTCCTTCCTGGCTCCTCGAAGAGAGTACCAGAAGGGGCTCTGGAGTGCGAAGTAGAGTTCTGACACATGCAACGCCAGAGACCTCACTCTACTCCTTTCTGATCTTCAAAACTTTCCTGCAGGGCAGGACTCTGGAGAAAAAGGTGTTGTGGTTTTCCATTTCCAAAACTCAGTCACCCTAGCTTAGAGCCAAGGGCTGAAAGCCAGGATGAGTTTGGGCTCAATCCCAGACTTGCAGCCAACTCACTGTGCAGAAGGTGAAGGGAGCACTGGTTGTGGGTATGGACAGCATTACTCATGGGTTTATAGGAGACGATTCAAACCAGAAACAAGGCCGTATCTCACATCTTCCCAGAAGCCACACAAGATTCTGCCCTGAGGAAATTCTCATGAATAGCTGAGCTGGGATTTTAGTTCACATTTGATTTGTTAGGAGTGAAATAGGAACTTGAATGGGAGGTTTTGGAGGGAATCTTTGGATACATACCCAGATGAGCACTGACATTCCTGCCAAACAGCCTCTGCATGTTGGGTCAGTCACGCAGTTCCACCTGGGAGGAGGACTTATCTTCTTACACATTTATAATGCAAACAGTTGTTTTCTGGGGTAGCTGTGGTTAACTTATACTGGACAGAACTACAAACAGGAAGGGAGTAAGGCAAGAGCAGTGAAAGAGAACTTGAAAGAATAGGGGAGGCTAATCTCTAACACAGTGTCGCGTTGCTAAGATCCAACCTCATTCACATTGACAGGTTGCTGTATGACAGGACAGAAGTAAAATGGGTTCTCAAGGGCTGAATCCAGCCTCCCTATGCTCAGGCTCTCAGATCCTGCCTTCCCTGCCAGTGGCACATTTTATCTTTGTAAATTGCTGCTTTCGGTGCTACTACTAATATCCCCAGTTTCCATCATCCCCTTTTATTTTGGTTCCAGCTGAATTCCCTGCCTATTTTAAAATCAAGTTTAATGTAAATTGAAGGTAGGCAGATTGACAACCCTGGAGGCTGAAGTCCTTTCTTTACCTACAACAGAGGCCTGGCCAGTGCAAACTTCCTTATCTCAAAAAACCAAATAAACCAACCCAGCTTTATTCCCTAATCCTGACCTGAAGGATCCAGCTCTAGGGAGGAGAGGTTAATTCAGGCTCAACAGCCCTTTTATTCAGTCCTTGGCTTCTGTTGAGAATGCAAGTATACCCAGAGTCCAACTACGCATTCCGCAGAGGCTACTACAGAGCTACGCAATCACATGGACCCCTCTGGATTTCACAGCTGTTATGCTGCACATTGAGAGCCCAGATTGCTACTTCTTGGCTCTTTCAGAACCAAAGAGAGAGAGAGGAGCCTGCAGACTAGGGAGAGGGTTTTGCAAAATGTGTATGTGCTTTTGAAATGCCAAGATTATCTGGGGAAGAGTTCTGCTTTGCTGTCAAGACTGTGTAACGCAAACACAAGTTTTCCCTGCCAGTTCAGAAAAGGAAGGGGGGGCTGGAGAAAAAGACCATCTGGGAAAAAAAAACACAAATTAACAGCAACTAAATCAAAGTAAACACAATGATTTTAAATGCACAAACTTTACAAGGCCAGATTGGATTTAACTGGTTTTTATGACACTAGTTCCTTCTTTATTTGGCAGGAAACAAGATGACTAGAAACTTTCACAGGGGTCAGGTGGCTACACTTCAAACTATTCCAGCAGGATGCAAATCCCCATAAGCGACTAGACACATAGACCCATCGGGTCAACACTCAGTTACCCTATTTGGGGTAAGGGTTAATCATCTAGGACAAGCAGTCTGTACAATGATCAGGTTTGCATGTGGAAGTGCAGGTGGACTAACCACTTCTAGCTTCATGAATGGATGTAACAATGATGGCAACTTAGCACCGCTACAGCATATATTGAATATTTGCTAATTTGTCCAACATCCCATTTTATTGAGAAGGGAGGAACAAAAAGCCCATAGAAATAACTCACCTAAAGGTCAAACCGTGAGTCTTTGATAGAGCCAGGATGGAGGCCAAGTACCAGTCAGGTGCCATAACCACAAGGCTATCTTTTCTCCCCCTGGTCTAGAGACTGAGGATGAGAGGCTATGTGTCTCCAGCTATCATATTGAGAGTCCTGTGACAGATATGGAAATTTCCTGCAATATCCTTAAATGGCCTTACTCTATTAAATGTATGTATTATCATGGGCCAGGGTTGTATGTAACTTCTCTAGGGGAGACGTGACAGATATAAGACCTGGGAGTTTAAAGTACTACACTGAAAATGTGTCAGACAAGTATGGACTTTTGAGACAATTAATGTTAAGTAGATTTCCTGGGGAAGTCCTATGGAGAAGTTAATGCAAATTCCCCAACTCCACTTATGCAAAAACCCAGCCTTTTGAAGCTATGCTATGAGGAAAGGGTCATTGTCTACGGATTACTTGTTACAGAAGGCCAAGATCAAAGGCCCAAGCTGTATAAAGAAATGGCTGATGTGCCCAGCCTTTGTTCTGGTTCTGGATCTAAAGAGGTATATGAACTTGTAACCATAGGGAAAACCCAGTTGTGAGTTTGAACCTACCCAACCCTGAGGTTGGAGTTGGGGATGACCTCTGGTTAGCTAGCATGCATGTAGGAATTCTTATTGTTTTTATATGTTTTCTCTGTAGTGCTTTTACTTTAAGAATAAATGTGCTTGCCTAGCGGAGCTGTGTGGTAACTTATAACTGAGGGCAACACACCAATCATAGCCCTCAGGGAGAAGCAAAGCACAGATGCTGGGATTTTTCAGACAATATGGCTTACTGTGGATATCACAGTGTAATATAAGGAGCGGAGTTGCGCAGCCTTAAAATTCCAAGAGAGAGTCAGACACAGGTCTCCAACCAAAAGAGATGATGGCCGGGAGCTCGAAGCCTAAATTGGTTGCTGTTGGGGAACCACAGAGGGGGAATATGGGTGTAGTTACCCTGAAACTGTGACCCCTTTCTAAAATGAGACCTATCGTCTATGAAATGCTACAAACTGAACGGGGGACACTTTTTTACACCATCCCTTTGGTTGCACAGTCAGATTGTGATCTTTCACTCCTGGTAGTTCTGCCTTCTCCCGAAAGTCAGGATCCAGAGCTGGGCTTCTGGAGCATGGTAACCCATTGGAGAGATTCCTTTTGTAGAGGAACGTCTCCTGGAGTCACAGCATACCCTCACTCAGAACGTAGTGCTCTAGATAGCCACCTACTAGTCTAGACCTAAACTACCCCTTTCTATTCACAATCTTTGGGGTAGCTTTTCTTGCCCAGAAACCCCAGGCAGTGAACACCAAAAGACAGTAGAAAATCTCTGTAAGAGAAACTTAACCATTGAGAACCAACACCTGGAAACTCACTGCCTTAGCAATCTGGCAGATGTATCAGCTACTCCAGGAACTGAGGGGGAGAGGAGAACACTGGTAACTGGAAGTGGTTGTGGAATGAGGGGATCAGACAGAAGAGGGAGGAGGTGAGTGTTGAAGGAGGAGAGATCAGATCCTGTGCTGGGCGAGCGGGTGTGCAATCTAAAAGCCAAGATGCTGGAAATAAACAGAGTGCAGTGACAGCTTTTAATCATTCCACCCACAGGCGCAACCTGAGAGTGGGGAATGTTGTGGGGTTTCATTACAGCTCACTGTGGCATGAGAAAAGATTAAAACCTTTCACATGTGAATAAATTACATCCAGGGCTGTATTGATCGGAATCCACTTGGGGACATTTTAACCTTTGATTCTCTCTCTCACGGAGCTGTGCATCTGTCAGTTCCCATCTCTTTGTCTGGCACAGCTGCACATTTCCTTACATTAACCAGTGGAGGTGCCTGAATAAGAGGACTTACAATAGCTACAGTGTGGCATGTCTTACCGAGTGCACAGGTGCCGCCAGGGAAGCTGTGATCCTCACACAAGCCCAGGTATGGAGAGACCACTTGTTTGACCAGCTCTTCCAGCAATACGTAGCCCTTGCTGGGGCCTGTAGGTTCATGGACACCCTGCAATTCAAGCATCAAAGCAAATGTGTCATCACACAACTACACAGCTTCCATCACATATTCTGGGAGCCAGAATGCCTGGGCTCTACTTCCAGTTCTAAAGGAGTAGAAACATGGGGATATTTATGGCAGAATTATACCACTGACGTTATACCAGTATAACTCCACATGTAAACATCTTATTCTGGAACAAGAGTGCCTTTATGACACTTAGCAACAATCTAAACCAGAAAAAGGCACTCTTCATGTGTGGACCCACTTATTCTGCAAGAAGAATGCCTTTTCTGGTTTAGTTTATGCTTTTTTGCAAAGCATCATAAAGACCCTAGTCTTCCAGAATAAGAGTGTCCACTATATCAGTATAACTGTACTAATATAATTATACTGGTAAAGTTCTGCCAATAAATTTCCCTATAGAGATAAGCCCTTACATTGACTTGGGCAAATCACTGCCCCTCCCTGAACTGGAACTGTAAGTCACCACCCCTCTCTTCTCCTTCTTTTATCTGTAAAGCTAACCTATCTAACCCAGGTGTTTGATGATAGAAACTCATTATAGATTTCTATAGTTTTCTTGCAAAGACTAGCTAAGAATTTCTCCTTTTAGTAATAAATTCCTCACTCTGGCAATTGCCACTCCACACTCAACCTTCTTTTCCTAAAATCTTTAAAAGAGAAATTCAACCTTCACTCGGATGGCTCCTGTTAGCATCACTTGGATTTCAATAATTATGGTTGGAAAACTAAAAGTTCTTAGGTAATCACAAACTTAGCCACTTTCCACACTGATTGTGCTTCAGAAACTTTAATTGCTCTTGGTTTTTCTCTCTCTCTTCCTTTTAAAGGAAAAAAAAAACAAGCAAACCATGGAAACTGTATGGAAATAAAACCCAGAGGACCCTACATAAACGTCTGGAATCTGGATATTTTCCATGGTTTCCACATCAGGCTGTATACGATGACACAGCTGGTACACTTGGATGCGCAGATCATATGTGGAAGATTCTGTTCCTGTTCCCTTGAGGTTTGGATGGGTAGGCTGGTTCCCTTAGAACATTTGTGTTGCTTGAGAGGGGCCCTTAGAAGATCTATAGCCCATTGCCTGCTGCCAAGGGTACTCCTCCCATCAATGCTCTTCCCCTCACAGGTAAAGCTGGACCACAGCTCAACCCCCTAACTAGCTGAGAAAGCCTGTATTAGGAGTGAATAGCCAGTGCTCATCAGATTCCATTGTCTCATGTGAGTGAGAGAGAGCACTTCCCTGTCAGTGTAAAGCTGTTGAACTAGAAGAACTCGTATATGGGGGTCACAACTATGAGAATTGTAATCAGAAGTGAAAGGCATTTGGAGATGCTCTAAGATCCGTGTGTAAGTGAAGCAAGAGCACTGGGACTTCTCAGTCACCAAGGAAAAAGCCCCAAGACCCCAGAGTTTGGTTCATTTCCTTCCCACTGGGACAGCTTGACCCCCTTCCATCTGTTTGCTCAGGAAACTCAAGCCACAATGCCTAATATTCAGTTTAGTTCATTTTCATGTCCAGCTTCCCCACATGAACACACACAACTCCTTCCCCAACCTCATCATGCCGACTGGTTTTCTTCTTTCCAGGGGCAATATGAATTGGTAGCTGTGAGATGTGTATGCATGGGTGAGAGACAGATAGAAGGAGAAAAAAAGAAAGGAAATTCCCTACCTGTAGAACCAGCAGCATCTGGACAATGGAAGCTGGGAGCTTTGTTTGGACTAGAGGAAGAATCTCTTCCAACTTCAGCTTTAATAAGACCAAGTCTCTGAAGCCGAGCAGGGCAATCTGGCGGATAGTTAATTCCTGACCCTGAAAAAATACAATTTGGAAATGTGTGTGTGCATAATGCGCACACGCACACCCACACACACCCAAAGCCTGTCTTGCAAATTATTGTTGTGTGCTGTTATGGTAGAGCACCCATCCGCTGCTCAGCCTCATGATTCCTTATACTGTTGAGTAGCCTATTTAGAGAGCACCTTTTCTGCCCCATTTCTAATCTATGAGTGACAGTTATGCAAAAAATGAGCCATGATCTCAGCAGAAAATGACACTTAAGCATTATACAGGGTAAAACGGATTTATTTGGGTTTAGACCCCATTGGGAGTTGGGCATCTGAGTGCTAAAGACAAGCACACTTCTGTGAGCTGTTTTCAGGTAAACTTGCAGCTTTGGGGCAAGTGATTCAGACCCTGGGTCTGTGTTGGAGCAGACGGGAGTGTCTGGCTCAGCAAGACAGGGTGCTGGAGTCCTGAGCTGGCAGGGAAAACGGGAACAGGGGTAGTCTTGGTACATTGGGTGGCAGCTCCCAAGAGGATTTCTGTGATCCAACCCGTCACAGTGTTAGCTACCAGAAATCACTTCCATATGATGGAGGTTCGGTAGCTTATGGTTGAAGGGCTCAGTTACATTCCAAGTGGACACTTGTCCCCATCACAAAAGCCACTACTATACCCTTAATGGCATTTGAAGTAAAAAAGTCACAGGCTGAATGGGTCCGAAAACTGACGGGACCCTCTCACTCAAAGACATGATTCCTCCAGAACAGTGCCACATGTGTGGATCAATACAGTTCCTTTCTTCAGGGAAAGGAGGCTGTTCTTGTTACTAAGGCACTGGACTCAGAGTCCAGTGATCTGGATTCAGTCCCCAAATCCACCACCCTGTGTGATTGTGGCAAGTCACTCTGTGCCTCAGTTCTTCATCTGTAAAATGAGAATAGTGCTTCCCTAACTCAAAAGGGAGTGGCAAGGAGATGTTTATGAGGTTCTCCGATACTACTGGGATGTATGCCTTAGGAAAATGTAAAAATAAATAAAATACAAAGGATCTAGGTTTCCTTCATCTCACCCTGCTAGACTAGGTCACTCCATGTCTCCAGAATATGTACGCACATGAACATGCGTGCGCACACACACATAGCACAAAGAGTAAAAAGACTTCTCAGTTGCACAATTTCACCTGTACCCCACCCCCCAAACACACATACCTTCTAGCATCTGCAGCAAGTACAGCCAGGAGAGAGTAAAAACAAATATATTGGACGGTTAGCAATCATCTTTAGATAAGTTCTCTCGGCCACTTTTAGGAAATGCCAACTTTAATCATTAGGAAAGGGCAACCTTCAAATTTCAACTGCTGACTTTCAAGCGATAAAAGGAAAAATCAAATATATCTAGAGTCTGGTTCTCCAGGAGCAGAGACAGACCAAACGGGAAGGCCTAACATTTCTAAGAATTCCATTCTACACAGATGATGTGTTTTTGGTGCCTTTTCAGACCCCTCCCTCCACCGCCTCCCTCACGACTGGTGAGAAGTTATAAACATGCTCATTTGTCAATAGCTCCTCAACAATTAGGATTGCTGGTGCTGGAAATCCTGACCAAAACTATTATTATTTGTATTACCGTAGCGCCTAGGAGCCCTAAGTCATGAGCCAGGACCCCACAGCGCTAGGCACTGTACAAAGAGAACAAAAAGACAGTCCCTGCCCCCAAATGGTTTACAATCTAAGCAAATTAAAGAAGTAAAATATAGGTTTCAAATCGAAACTCCTTCAGGAATGCGACACTCGGCTGCTTAGCCTTGTAAGCGGGACTTAGAGAGAAACCAGAGTGATGTTACTTTGCAGGTACTGTACATATATGTCCACTCATCACGAAAGCATCCAAGACCCAGGGAGACATTTTCAAAGGTACAAATGACAATTAGGTGCCTAACGTCCGATTAAAGTCAATGGGAGTTAGAAATCTTTCATATGCGCCTTTACAAATTTCTCCCCTTGACTAGACGCAGGATTTGCCCCAGTGCCAGCCAGACATTGGAATAGCTGTGCCAGTGCTATCCTCTAATGCAGACAGGCAAAGCCACTACTTGCAGTGATGGAGCTATAGCTACTGCAATGACTAAAGAACTAATGACGATAATTGGGACAAATCCTCGGTCTAGACAAGGCCCAAGTACAGTCCGGTTGTATCAGTGCTTAAGCACTGTTTAAACTCCACCACAGACAGGCTCCTAACAGCCAGAGAGGACAGGACCAAACAGGATTCAAAACATTGCACTCTACCTTAAGTTACCTAGTTTATCACACTAGTTACATTTACATAATTCACTAGGACAAACTTCACTAGGAGCCCATTTGGCCCAAACCATGGTTTAAAGTTCTTAAAACCTGTTTAGCCAGCAGAGATGGAGCCTTAATTGCTGCAGGGAGAGAAGGGAAGCACCAAGGGACCATTAAGCAGGTACTGTTGTTGCATTCCCTCCCCATCTCCCAGACTATATGTTAATCAGGTTTACCTGGACAGGGTAGAATATCGCCTGGAGTGTGGGAAGGGTCTCTGTGAAGAAGTGATCCCAGATTTCAGACAGGATATCAATGCGATCCTCACCTAAAAGCACAGGAATTTGGAGGGAGAAAAACCCTTTAGCAATTAGGACACTACAGTCAGATTCAAATGTCCCAGTGCTCTTTACCTTTCTAGGTGAGCATCACAAACCCGCCTCATTTAGCGTCTCCTACCCCAAAGTAGACAAGTCTTGGCAGCTTTAGCTGAGTTTTGCTTGGTATTTGTTCACAGCAAAGAAGTGAGGGGGCATAAATCTATGATCAGAAACAGCGGAGTCCCTCCCAGCCCTAAGAACACAGTTCCACGTGAAAGTAAAACAGCCCGATTAAAGTAAAAGGGTGATGCTGCTCCTTAGGCAATAGGGTCTATCTCCACTGGCCAAGTATGTTGCAATTAAAAAGCACCTAATAAACATTAAGCTGATATTCCAGTATGGTCCCACTGAGCAGCTATGAATGAAGCAGACAGGAGAGAGCCCAGAGGCTGAAGTCAGGGAGCCAATGCTGTACAGATACCTCTTTAACCAGCTAGATTAATTCTGAGATTCTCCCTGCCCCAAACATAGATCTAGAAGTCACAGAACAAACCCACCCGCACACCCGTTGTAACAAGCCACAAAGCCATAATGAGAAGAGTGCCTAGAGAAGTTTTAAACTTGGCAACTCACAAGGTTCAACTGCTCCCATTGTATCCAGCCAGCCACAACAAAAGCTTCAACTGTCACAAGTTCGGATATTTAAAATAAATGCAGACTGAAAGTCATGCAACCCGTAACCCACATGGCAAGCACGTAGCTTTCATCACAAGGTGATGTAAAAATGATCATGCAATGGGGACATTTGGTCGTTTAGATGGAATATTTTTTAATTAACTCATGAATAAACTCAATTCACAAAGCTTCTTGTGTTTCTAAAAAGTTAGGCTGAGATGTCCAAGCGGCCTAGTGGATTTGGACATCCAGTTTCCCATCCCCTAGTCCAGGGGTTTGGGTCCCACTGGGGGGCTGTGAGCAGGTTTCAGGGGGTCTGCCAAGTAGGGCTGGCATTACACCTGCTGGGCCCCAGGGCAGAAAGCTAAAGCCCCACCACCTGGGGCTGAAGCCCGGGGCTCCAAGTCCTGCCACTTGGGGCTGAAGCCGAAGCCTGAGCAACTTAGCTTCACAGGGCCCCCCGTGGCATGGGGCACCGGGAATTTGCCCTGCTTGCTACCCCCTAACGCTGGCCCTGGCTTTTATATGGAGAAAAACAATTGTTGTGGCACAGGTGGGCTGTAGAGTTTTTATAGCATGCTGGGGAGGGCGGGGGGGGGCACTCAGAAAGGAAAAGGTTGAGAAACCCTGCCCTAAGCAGCTTGGAAATCTCAGTTTTAAACTTGTGTGTAGCAGTTGTATCAGTTCCTCACAGAGGGACTTATATTTAAGTTGCCTCTCTTTAAGTTGCGTCTCACAAGAACATTATTTACCTGTACTGAAATGTTTTCCAAATGCAGGAAAATTCCAAAGACTTTCAGTTTTCATGTTTACTACTGATTGTTTCCCCTAGCATGACTGTAACACACCTTACTTGTGATCTAAGCCATCAGAAAGAGAACGTGCAACCATAGGACCTGATTCTGCAAGCTTTATCTCCCAGGAGTAAAGGCCCCATTGACTTCAACAGATTACAGGATCAGATCCTTTGTCTGCTTTTTAATCCCAACTGCAAGAATACACCAAAAAATTCATCCATCAGCCCTGATAGAGCCATGCTTTATTCACACGGTCAGTAATGACAGGGAAGAGAGAAGTAGGACCCCGCTAAGCACTGAGGATAGGATGGAGATTAAAGATAATCTAGGTATGGCCCAACCTAACCGAATACTTTGCTTCAGTTTTCAATAAGGGTAATGAGGAGCGTGGAGGCAGTGTCAGGGTGGCTAATGCGAACAAGGATATGAAAGTAGAAATTACCACATCCGAGGTGGAAGCCATTCTCAAACAGCTTAATAGGACCAAATCGGGGGACGCAGATAATCTCCATCCAAGAATATTAAAGGAACTGCACATGAAACTGCAAACCCAATAGCAAGAATTTTTAATGAATCGGTAAACATGGGAGTAGTATCCTATGCCTGGAGAATTGCAAACATAGTATCTGTATTTAAGAAAGGGAAAAAAAGTGATCTGGCAAACTACGGGCCCGTTATTTTTACCTCAATTGTATGCAAGGTCTTAGAACAAATTTTGAAAGACAGAGTAGATAAGGACATAGAGGTAAACAGTAATTGGGATAAAATACTAAATGTTTTTGCAAAAAATAGATCATGCCACACCACCCTGATCTCCTTCTTTGAGAAGATAACAGATTTGTTGGATAAAGGAAATGCAGTAAAGATTTCAGTAGTTGCACATGGGAAATTAATAGTTAAACTGAAGAAAATGGGGATTAAAATGAGAATCAAAAAGTGGGAAGAAACTTGTTTAAGGGGAAACTACAAGGTCATGATGAAAGGTGAACTATCAGGCTGGAGGGAGGTTACTAGTAGAGTTACTCAATGATCAGTCTTGGGACCAATCTTATTTAATATTTACATTAAATGACTTTGGCACAAAATGTAGAAATGTGCTAATAAAATTTGTGGATGACACAAAGTTGAGAGGTATTGCCAGTACAGAGGAGGACCGGACTATCATACAAGAAGATTTGGACAACCTTGAAAACTGAACTAATAGGAATGGGATGAAATGTAATACTGCAATAGTGAATTTAGGGACTACCACAAGAATTTTTGCTATAAGCCAAGGATGTATCAGCTGAAAGCGAAAGAGGAGGAGAAAGACCTGGGTGTATGAGCCACCAATGTGATGCAACCATGAAAAAAACCAATGTAATCCTAGGATGCATTAGGCAAGGTATTTCCAGTAGAGATAGAGAAGTGTTATTACCATTATACAAGGTAGTAGTGAGACCTCATCTGGAATACTGTGTGCAGCTCTGGTCTCCTGTGTTTAAGAAGGAATAATTCAAACTGAAACAGGTTCAGAGAGGGCTACTAGGGTGATCAGAGGAATGGAGAACTTGCTTAATGAAAGGAGACTTAAGGAGCTAGGCTTGGTTAGCCTAACAAAAAGGAGGCCGATGGAAGATATGAATGCGCTTTATAAATACATCAGAGGGAAACACCAGGGAGGGAGAGGAGTTACTTAAGTTAAGGGCCAATGTTGGCACAAGAACAAAGGTATATAAACTGGCCTTCAATAAGTTTTAGCTTGAAACTAGACGTAGGCCATGTCTACACTAGCAAACTTACAGCAGCACGGCTGTAGCGATGCAGCTGCACTGCTGTAAGATCGTCCATGTAGCCGCTCTATGCCAATGGGAGAGAGCTCTCCTGTCGACATAATTAAACTGCCTAAACGAGCAGTGGTAGCTGTGTCAGCGGGAGAAGCTCTCCTGTTGACATAGCGCTGTGCACACGCGCTCTTATGGCAGCAAAACTTATGTCACTCAGGGCAACATAAGTTTTGCCTACATAAGTGACAGTGTAGACATGACCACTCTTCTAACTATCAGAACAGTGAAGTTTTGGATCAGCTTTCCAAGAAAAGTAGTGGGGGCAAAAAACCTATTTTTTTTTACAAGTTTGATAAAAGGGATAGTATGATGAATTGCCTACAGTGGCACGCGGGCCACCTGTGACTGCTATTAACAAATATCTGCAATGGCCGGAGATGGGATGCTAGATGGGGAGGGCTCTGAGTTACTACAGAGAATTCTGTCCCAGGTGTCTCTCTGGCGGGTCTTGCCCACATGCTCAGGGTCTAATAGCCATATTTGGGGTCGGAAAGGAATTTCCTCCCAGATCAGATTGGAAGACACCGGAGGTAGGAGGGAAGAGGGAGGGGATGTTTGCCTCCCTGTCAGCATGGGGCACAGGTCACTTGCAGGTTTGAACTAGAGTAAACAGTGGATTCTCTGTAACTTGAAGTCTTTAAATTAAGATTTGAGGATTTCAGTAACTCAGCCAAAAGTTTTGGGCCTAATACAGGATGGGTGGGTGAGGTTCTGTGGCCGGCGATGTGCAGGAGGTCAGACTAGATGATCATAATGGCCCTTTCTGTCCTTAATGTCTATGAGTGTGTGGATAGGTTTTAGGATCCCCCTCCTATCTGTCTCAGGGCTGAGCTGTTGCAATGCGTGGGAATGGAAATAAAAGGAAAGGTAATCTTTAGCACGGGGAAGTGGTGTATTTGTGCAAGAGATCATAAATCCTACAGAAATTTGAAGTGCTGCATTAAGAGCAGAAGTTCTGATTAAGACAAACATGCATTAAAAACGTTGCTGCTCTCTGCAGCATGGGCATTACTTTGACTCAGAGCTGGGAAGGGAGCTCCCTTTTTGGAAGTCAAAGCTAACTGGGAAGTGGGTACAAGTGGCTCTTGTTGCAGTGACCACAAGCAAGATTCTCTGGAACAAAGCGATAAATTTATGAAAGAACGGGGAAGAAAAAAAAAATCAATGCTTGGAAATTCCATGAATCATCTGGCTCCTAACTGCATCACAGTGATCTTAGCTCCTGTAAGCACCGTGTTTACAATGCCACCTCAGACAAATGAAAGGGCAGCAGGAAGGCCCTTGTCTGTCTAGCTGGAACATCTTTCCCAAGCAATCAGCAGCCACATGCTGGCACCTTTGTTTCATTTTAACATGATGATGGATGACTCACAAACCCGCTGCCAACGGGAGCTGTATGTTTTAATCTGCATCACAAATTGGGACAGTTTTACAAGGGTTTTTTTGTCTGTTTGGTTTAGAGTTTTGTTAACTGGCCAGTGTTTGTTCTTTAGAAAGCGGAGGGGTTGGTAAAAGCAAGACAGAGATCCCTGTTTCGGATACTGAGTGCAGCACACCCTTGGGGCTAGTCTACACTAGCAGAGCTACAGCAGTGCAGCTGCACCAATGCACTGTAGTTCGTCTGGTAGACAAGTATCGGGGGTAGCCGTGTTAGTCTGTATCTACAAAAACAACAAGGAGTCTGGTGGCACCTTAAAGACTAACAGATTTATTTGGGCATAAGCTTTCGTGGGTAAAAACCTCACTTCTTCAGGTGCAACTGGAGCATGACACTGTGGGGCCAGCAGTTTGAATGGCCACTAGCTCTTCACATATGGAGAGTTTGAGTCCTAATGGGGTTTCATCCCCATCCTGGTGAAACACACACTCATTCTAGTACATTTGTTGAGGGCTTTCAACAGAACAAAGCTATGATATTAGTGGTACCAAGGTTATGGTCAGAAGACTCATGAGTTCAGGCCTTTCTGCACAGTTTCAAACCATCTTAAGAAATAAGGCAAAAGCCTGTAGGGGCTTAACACTGTTTAAAAGCAGGGAAACAAGATTCACATCAAGGATTGGCACCATTTGGAAACTGGGTTTAAATTACACTGCAGAACCATGTGTGAGTCTTCCTGGTGAAGAGAGTGGCTGATGGAAAAGCCTCAGTCATGCTTCTGACTCAACAAGATCCAACATCCCTCAAGTAACATACAAGCTGCAGTACAATGTAATTCCCAGAGGGGTAGCATGGATATGTTAAACTCATTCAGCTGTATGCTAGCTTGAACTGGGCTTAGTCAGTGCATGTGATCTCAGTTGCATAGAAGGGGCCTTAGAATTTCCAGTCGTGTGAATCATTCGAAGATGATGGGGTTATGACAGATGAATCTCAGCTGTCCAATCATCAAAGGCTGACTCACAAGGGCCCTCCAGGACCCCATTCCAAAACAGTCTCTCTATACTTGCCTTCGCACAGCTTAACCTTCTCCTCTATGAACAGCAAGCCCTTCGCAAGGAGCTGGTTCTGCCAAGAGAGAAGAGAGAGACATGCATTTGCTTTTCCCAAGACTTAAAATAAATTGTGAAGACAGTTTTATTGCTGTTATTTGCTTGACATGCAGGTGTCGAAAGTTCAGTCAGAGCACTCCCAGCCCTAACACTGGACTTAGGCACCTTAAGAATCTCACACAGGATATTAACCCCTACCTAGCCTACAGCTATTTTTGCAGAACAACAGGTGCAGCAGATACATGGAGCATTTCACAAAACAACTGGACTTTCAGGTGAACTGAAGGATGAGCTTGTTTTAGGCCACAAGACTGGGAATCAGGAGAATCAGGTAGGTCTCTTCCTGGGACTGCCACAGCTTTCCCATGTGCCCTTGGGAAAAGCCATTTAGGGCAGATTTACCCAAGTATTTAGGCACCTAAAGATGCATCTAGGCACCTGAATTTACAAAGGTGCCTAATCTTCTTAGGCACTTCTGTAAATCCCAGTAAGCACCTAGTTGCATCTTTAGGTGCCTAAATGCCTTTGTAAATCCAGCCTTAGATTGTCTGTGGCTCAGTTTCCACATCTGTAAAAAGGGTTAACACTTACCAACCTGCTAGCACTGTTGTGGGAAGAAAATCAGTTATTCTGAAATGATTTGAGATTCTTGGATGGAAGAGCTAGAGATGGGTAATATACATATTCTCATCTCAGAAAGGTTGGACCCTACCACAGGCATTGCATCAATAGAGAATGTGCCTCCTGCTCATGGGAAATGCTGTACCATCAGAGCAAAATGGATATTCAGGAGGTCTCTCTCTCTCTCCCACTGTGCAAAAAGTGTGGTATCTACCAGGTTGTTGTTTCTTTTCATTGCCATAATATCCCCGAGAATCAGTTACTCTGAACAGGTAATTGTGTGGGAGTCACAACTTCCGTCCCCTATTCTCCTTTAACCAATGGGGAAGCAGTGCCAGTCTGAATGCCCAATGTACACTGTCTGCACAATATTCTGTAACACAGAAGCAGCCTTTAGACCAGCAGGAGTCACAGGCCTCCATAGCACATAGCCATCCCTACGCTGCCAAGTGTTTGCACTGTAACTATAAATGAAAAGTCGGAAGAGAAGCATTACCAAGTGTTAAATACTAGTTTGCCACAGGAGGTGTTATCTTCTGCCCACAAAGGAAGGCCCACAAACACCAGACAAACCACTGTGGAACATCAGAGGACAAAGACTTTGTTGATTGCCCCCACACACATACACACATGAAGAGGAAAAGTGCATGCGGACTCATCCCATCAGCTTGAACTCTGCTGCTTGGACCCTGAGGAACAAGGATTACTAAGCCTAAGCAAAGGATTGCCAGTGCTTGGCCTGAGTAGCTCTAAAGGACATACAGAGCTTGCTCATTATAGAAGCTTCTACCATCTTTTGAAATCCAAGACTAACTTGCGTGTGTGTGTGTGTGCGTATATATATATGTTTATCTTCTTTAACCTTGTAAATAACTATTTTCTTTTTCTTAGCTAACAAATCTTTAGTTAGTTTATTATAGGATTGGCTACAAGTGTTGTCTTTGGTATAAAAATCTAAAGTGCAATTGACCTGGGGTAAGTGACAGGTCCTTTGGGACTGGGAGCAACCTGAATATTAATGTGATTGTTGCTGTAAGAGACCATCTATCTGCATGCATTAGACTTAAGAATTTATCCATGTAGGTGCGTGTGTGAGTTAAATCTGACCCCTCAATGTTGCCAAGGTCAGCAAGACCCCAAAATTCCCAGCTAAGCAAATCAGTCGTTGAATTCAAAACAGCAAGAGGCTCCTTCTGCCCTGGAATCTTATGCAATTAAAGCTTAGCACTGACATGCTACATTGATAGGTGCCCTAGAAATACGTGAGATTAAAAAGCAACCTTCTTCCTTTGGCATCTTTACTTTAGTCTGAAATCTTGGCAAAGAGCCTTTAAGAAAGAGAACAGCTCCAGTAACTTGATTTGGGGCTGTCCCATACGCAACTCACCTAGAAAGGTTCCCCAAATACACAGAAAGGGCCAAAATCTGCCTTCAAGTCAATGATGTTGCAAGGAAGGCAAGTCAAGACAGAATTTGTTTCCAGGAATATACATTTGATGGAACCAGAGATGGTTAAGACATTTAGACTGGACAGCGTGTATGGGAGCTGCAATGTGGATGGAGTGCTGGCTATTGCTGGCTTTCTAAAACCATGTTATCTGACCCTGTTCAAAGCAGCTCTAATTATTCCAGTACTTTGCCAAAATTGCCAACACTGGGGAAATTGGTGGCATAGAAAGGGCCAAAGATGTCATCAGAGATCAGAAATTCAAGCTGTCAAACTGGAAGCCATTCTCACAATGCCAAGAGCAGCTATTCTGCAATCATAGACTTGCCAGCACATTGCTTTTTCCTGTTGGCATTCACAAGCTTTTAACTAAGGTTAACGAGAATCATTTGTGCCTCATTTGCAAGCAGATTAAGGAATTCAAATGCATAGGCCCTTAGGGCTCCATTCCCCACGTACTAGTCCCTGCATGCAGGCAATTTCACATCCCTGGAACAAACAAGCAGGAGCTACCCAGATCAGTGTGGATGCAATGGTGTTAGGGGACTAGATAACAGCGCTTTAGTCCACAGAAACAATTTATGGTTTGGGCATACATCATAGATGGCACATGTGTTTCTGCATCATGTACAGCCCTGCAAAGGTCAAAGGCTTTTGCATGATTTAGAAATGCAGTTACAATATGCTTTTTAGTAGGGTCAGATAACACAGTGCTTTGAATGCCAGCAGCAGATGTCACCCCATCCATGCTACAGCTCCAAAGGTTGCTAACTAGGATGAGTCAAGCATTTTCCACTAAAACTTTTTTCCAGTGGATAATTTGGGGTTTGTGAGAACAGGTTTACACTTAAACCACTTTAGTAAAGTCGTTATTACGCCAACAGGAAAGCCTCTCCCATCAGCATAGTTAATTCACCTCCACGAGAGGCAGCAGCTATGTCGATGGGAGAAGCCCGCCAGTCGAAATAGCAGTGTCTATACCGGGGGCTAGGTCAGTATAAGTGCGTCGCTCGGGGGGGAGGGGGGGTTAATTCCCTGAGCGATGTACTTATAGAAATGTAAGTTTGTACTATAGACCTGGCCTGACTAAACTAAGGTTTTTGCAAACAGGGTCTGCTTTCTGTGAAAAATTTCAACTTTCTGATTTGTTTTTTTGACAAAACGTCAAACATTTCTGCAGAAAATCCCACCCCCTATTTTCCAAACTGCTCTATAGTGGAGACGAACCTTCTGCCCACAAAGCTTCAGGCTTCCTACATTGCAAATACTGGTGGAGCTTTAATTGACTCAACATTTCCTAAGGGTGAAGACAGGTCCTTTGAGAGACACATTCACTTTTCTGGGTACATCACTACAGATTTTGGATGCAGTTGTAGCCATGTTGGGCCCGGGATCTGAGAGAGACAAGGTGGGTGAGATAATAGCTTTTATTGGACCAGCTTCTGTTGGTGAGAGAGATAGAGAGACAAGCTTTCGAGTCACACAGAGCAAGGGGCACTGGAACGGGGGGGCCACAGGGTCATGGATCCATCACTTTTTACCGACCACAAGGGTGAGCAATGGGGGGAGGGGGACAGGGGCAGAGGGGAGTGAGCAGGAGCGGGTCTTGGGGGGAAGTGGCGGCATGAGGATGGGGCCTTTGGGGGGGAAGGGGCAGCGCAAGGGCAGGGCTTCAGGGGGAAGGGGCAGCAAGGGGGGGCAGGGCCACAGTTCGGGCACCGGTGCCCCCATGTTCCCCTGCTTTTAGGGAGCTTCCATCGCTCCTGCACAGAGCTCTTCTATGGGTCTGGGAGAGGTACTGAGAGTATCACAGCTAAATACAAGACTGAACAGATAGTTAAGCATAGGTAGTTAGCACATATTCTAAGGGACAACTCAAGGTGAAGTGACACAGAAGTTCGTCCAATAAAAGATATTACCTCACCCACCTCATCTCTCTACAGATTTTGGATTAATTTAGCAGAACAGGTTTTTCTGTTGATTAATCCAGGAGCTGCTTTGCTTTACTGCCAAAAGACACCAAGATTGGAAACACTGAATTTAAGCTTCCTCCTCCCAAGATCAAGCACTCAGCCAGATATATTGCATTTAAAAAAATCCAACAATGTAGTCTGCTGAGGAATGAATACACTCTAACAAATACAGAATGAAGCAAAGGTTTGCACCAGACCTTATCTAGATTACAGGTCTCATTACTGCTTTATCCCCGGTTGCTATAGGTAACATAGAGGGATATAGCCTAGGGAAAAATAATCTGATACAACTACAAGCAGATCATAGAATATCAGGGTTGGAAGGGACCTCAGGAGGTAATCTAATCTAATCCAACCCTCTGCTCAAAGCAGGACCAATCCCCAGACAGATTTTTACCCCAGTTCCCTAAATGGCCCCCTCAAGGATTGAGCTCACAACCCTCAAACCACTGAGCTATCCCTTCCCCCATAAAGCTGCATACACACCAAGCAAGCTTGAAGGACACACGTCTATATGAAAGGGAGCTACATTGCCCACCCACCTTCTTCCCACTTGCTATTATAGAAGAATTGTATGCTTGGGTACGAGATTATTCCCCTTCTGAGTCAACTTTCTCCTGGATCCCATAGTGAAATCTTAACCTTACAGTCAGAGCATCACAAGTTGCTGTAGGTCTAGTGATGGGTGCCACAAACATTGTATTACTACTTCACTGTGTGAAGAGGAGATGGACTGAGAAGGAACAAGACCCTGGATTAACCCCCAAACAGTTAGCAAACGTGGCCCAAGTAAGTTTGGGAAGGTGTGTGTTTGATAGCAGATACAAACAAATGGATGTATGAAGTCTGATAGGATGAGCACTCCTATGTTTTTATAATGCATATAAAATCACAGTAACTCTGTTACAGGTCTGTGGCTGGAAGGAGCATCTGAGAGGGCCAAGAATCCCAGCCAAGTCAACTCAGATCTTTCTC